TTCGGCTAGTAGATTGTTGGAAGAAGTGTTCAGTAGATAAAAAGAAAAGAAACATGTCTTTACTTCGTGAAGACAAAATGGCGGCGGGAAAAAAAAAATAGAGGGTTGCTGTAGGAGAGTTGGTCGGCAAATTTTCTCCAAAAAAACGCCAAGTTACCATAATGTAAAGATCAACCAATTATACTTTGTAAATCAGTTTACATGAAGCTTGATTAAAAATCATTGCTCAAAAATTTTAATTTGTGATTTTTAATAATAGTTGAAATAAAACCTAAAGAATAATTGCAAGGTACAAGTGACTTGCCTAAGCAAAAAAAAAAAAAAAAAAAAAATCAATTTTATCAGGACTACAATGCAAAAGTTTCTAATTTTGGTGAAATCTAATTTAATAACATTAGTAAATATAGGCATATATAAACATGAATTCCAGTTCTGATAGTTATTTATTGGAAAATGATAATCTATTCGTTAATCATATATATATAGGGTGGCCCAGAAGTCACTTTACATTTTGAAAATTAAATAACTTTTTTCCTATTAATATATTTCTTTTTCTCTTTTCAGAATTAAAAAATATAATCCCTGGAAATTTTTGGCATGGATAGGTTTACAACAGAACAACGAGTGAAGATAATTGAATTTTACTTTGAAAATGGACGGTCAATTGTTGCAACGCAAAGATCATGCGCCATTTTAATGTTCGACATCCCCCTAGTAGGCCTGCAATAAGGAACTTAGCAACGCGTTTTCAAGGTTCAATTAGTGCAATCTTTAAAACCAGCAGACTTTCAGAAACGAGTAAATTATGCTGTCAGGTTTCAGAGAACTGCAAGAAATGACAATGAGTTTATTCACAAGTTGATCATGGGAGATGAAGCTCATTTCCATTTGAATGGACATGTGAATAAGCAAAAAATAAAAAAGAATTAATTAAATAAAGTCATTTAAGAAAAATTTATTTAATTTTCAAAATGTAAAGTGACTTCTGGGCCACCCTATATTATGGAGAAAATCCGAAAGTAGAGAATGTCGACGTTCTCCAGTGAATGACAACAAATATCAAATATGTTGGTGAAAGATAAGCGAAAATAGGTCGATGTGTACATAGATAAAGTTAAGAGTGTGCGCAATGCCATTTTTGTGCAATTCTGGGATTTTTTTTTAAGTGAAAATAGGTCGACGTGTACATGGATACCGTGTATGTGCAATTCTTAAAAACGCGGCAAGCAGTTTGCGATTCTGCACTTTCTCCTGATTTCGCACCTAATCTGCGTCATGATTAAGCATTTTTGTTCCATAAAAGTTCTACTATAAGCGTAATTCGGCTAGCAGATTTTTGGAAAAAATGTTGAGTTAAAAAAAACATGCCTTTACTTCGTGAAAACAAAATGGCGTCCAAAACAAAACTAGCAGGTTGCTGTAGGAGGGTTGGTCGCCAAATTTTCGCCAAAAAATCGCCAAGTTACAATAATGTAAATATTTACCAAAAAATGAGTAGCTTAATCCGAAGACCTTGGTTGGAACAGTAAAGCATAAGGCTCCTATATAGAGGAGCTTTTACTTTAGTAAAGCATGGTTATGGAGATGTTCTTGTGTGAAGGTTTATATCAACATCAGGATGAAATAATTTAGTGTTCATTGATGGCACAATGAATGCTCTTTATTTAAACATTTTAAAAGATAATTTTAAATTATCCACCCAAAATTTGGATATTGGAAAGTACTAAGTAAGCAAAAAAGTACTAAGGCTATATAGATAGGCTTTGTAAAGTAAGTATATTTTTCCCTTTCTCGTCTGACGGAGCCACTCCTGCTTTGGAGAAGCGTTCGTTCTTAACATACATGCTCTTTAGTAAAAGCCTTAACAATTCGATAGAAACAGGCTCTTGAAAGTATCATTTTACCTGCGTTAGCAGCAATCGAACGAGATGGACGTCATTCTTGCTTGCTACGTCATTCGCATCGAGATCTTTTTGGATAATGTTTATCAGGATTTTAGAAATACATATGTTTGATAATTTTTAAATGTTTTGAAATTTATTAGCTAAATGATAATAATCTACTTAATATGAAATAATATTCTACAATATAAAATTATCGAGAAGTGTTAATTAAAATCCTTGGGTTTACTAAGAAAATAAATTACATAAGCATTATACAAATCTCATTTCAAATTTATGGAAAGATACATGTTTATAACATTATAAAAGCTGAGTATTTATTCAAAACTAATCCTACTTCAGAAAATTCTCAACACACAGTTTTATAGTTTTACATATATGTAACAATTATGAGTACAATATTATAAAAGTAACATAACCTTTTCATTTGTGGTGTCAAAAATCAAGATCCGAAAGAGCTTGAAATGACCTACTGACACCTACTAATTGTTTTTATAAACTGTATTAATCTATCACATGAGAAACTTGCAATATTTTCACATGAAAATATTTAGCAGAAAATTATTCGTAAAGTATAGACGAATTCATAAAAAATGTTTCTACAATTGAAATTGATCAGAAAAACAGAAATCACGACACATGTAGAATATATAATAATTATTCAAATAAGTAACTTATTCTTAGCGCAGGCGGCAATCCAGTAAAATCAAGTCTTCAAACAAAAGCTGTTAGTTCAGAACAGAATACAACTGTTTATCTTCCCTAAATAACTTTATAAACTCCTTAACAGATAATGCAAACGTATCCAGTCTGCTTCGGAACATTCTTCTTTGAAGTGAATTACGATGATGTATTCAGTTTAAAAGATACATCGCTAAACATTCATCCGACGCTACTTTTCGATCGCAAGATTTTTAAACGGTTGCACATAAGCAGCCGAACACCAGACGATCGCTACGCCGCACGAAATGGTTTCGATCGGTGCTCGAGGGTTGCAAATTGTCGCTCCGCACGAAAAACCCATCATATGTGACTTCACTCTTGTATCGAGAACTCGTCGCACGCAAGGAGGATACGGCCCGAGGAGACCCTCTATAACAGAGGTCGCCAACCGGTGGTCCGTGAAAACTTTTTGATGGACCGCAGAGAAACTGAGACATTATTTACATTTTTATGAAGATTCAATTTAAAAAATGACGAGTAACAAAGCCTATTATGGAATATGGATTATACTTTTTTTAAAAATTTAGCTACTAGTTTTAGCGAAATTCCTTTTGAATTTAGCTACTTTTGCAGGTGTATCTAGCGACATTTGAAAGTGAGAGTTGGCATCCACGGATATGCTGCTGTTATCAATAATAGCGTAAACTGGAATTCTCTTTCCTTTTGAATTACAAACGTATGCTATTGTAGTCCTTATAACACAGTTTTTCTTCGTATCAATAGGCAACTTGACGGATTTTTATGAGAACCATCTGCATTCTTGTTTATAATTGCATCACTGGAAGTTTCTGTTTTTGTTTTGTCTAACTGTTGATCGATGGCGCTATTGCTGACTAATTCATGAGTATTATGTTTACAATAATTAAAAATTGGCGGCATAACACTTTCAGTTTATTGATATTGCTTTGCGTTGGCCGGTTTGTTCTTGCTTTTCGTGAAGTTCCTTTTCAGTGATATGGAAATGTGAAGCTTTCTGTACAGGACGGTAAGTTTTTTGTACTTTTCATATAATTTTTTAATATGAACGAAATATGTGTATCAGTAAGATGTTAATAGTATTTCAATTGTTACTCATAATCAAGGGCGTAGCCTGAATTTCGATAAAGGCAAATATTTCGAAAATTATATTAACAAATGAAAATTAGAATTACATGTATTGGAAAGTTGAATATTGTTTTTGCGTATTAATATGTTATTAAAAATTGCATAATAGGAAATTAATTTAATGTATTTAATCAATATTGTAAATTCGCCAGATTTAAGGTCTGACATGATAATTCTTTTGCTTCATTTGTGCAGATCGCAGTGTGATATATTTGCAAGTATAATCAGCAAATTAATTATATAAATCATTGTTAATATTTGAGCAGTGGTACGTTTAATGCTGATATTAGCAAAATGCCTCATTGATGTGTCTTGGGACAACAGTTTAAAAACTAAATTCCACTCATCTTTATCAAGATCTTATTTTGGGCTCTCTATAAAAGATGAATACCCATTACTGAGTGAAAAAGCAATGAAATTTTTAATTCAGTTTTCAGCAACATATTTGTGAAAAAAGACATTTTCATCTGTAAGAGCAATTAAATCTCACCGATCTGGGCATGCGGCTCTCCGTCTTTCAGTGATGTCATTGGAACCCAAAATTTACAAACTGATTTCAAACAAACAGGAATAAATATCAGCTAAAAATATGTAATACTTAAATTTTCCATTTTTTTTTTTTTTTTTTTTTTTTTTATAATTTCTCTACAGCCTTGTTACTTTCCGTGGCTGCATTTCGCATTAATAAAATAAAAGTTTTCTTATTATTATTGTATAAATATATTTACCTTTTTTTTAATTCATATTAGTGGTCCATCAAATATAAAATTATATATGTAGTGGTCCATAAAGTTCTAAGGGTTGACGACCGCTGCTGTATAAGTGCTTTCTAGTTGCGGAACGTTTGTTTTAGGAACAAGTTTGATTTCTTTTTACTGTTCTTCAACAGGTCGCTGATAAAATTCAGCGGGTTTACTTTCTTGTCATTTCTTATACTTTGTAGCGTACAGCACACTGAGGTTTTGATTAACTTTTGTTGTTACTAAGACAAGCATGACTAAGCCTTGTTCTTAAGCATGCTCTTTAACTTACAGATAACTATTAATTTTTAACTAAAATGTATAACTGAAGTATCTTTAAAAATATATTATATATCTATTGATTTTTTTTTTTTTTTTTTTTTTTTCGGTTGCTAGGTTTCTTATCTTATATTTCACACTTTTCGTTTTTTACATAAATTAGTAATGATATAAAGTTTTAGTATTAAACTAATAAATGTGGCTGTGCCCAGAAAAATTCAAGAAAGAATTAATAAAACAGCAATTATTAAATGTCATATTTTAAAATCAGAGCAAAATTTTGCATGCAGTTGACGTCAGTTATTAGTCATCTCTTGGCTGTGCAGAAAGTAGGTGTAGTACAAGTGAAAATTTTGCTGGTGTATTCTCGTATCACAAAACTAGTTAGTTAAACTTGATCTCACATTGTAAGTATGTTTTTTCAGTCGAATTTATTTAGCTAATTCTTTAAGGCCTTTCTGTATTTTGAAGTTAAATTTCACGTTGGATATTTAATATTTACAAAACGAGATAAGGACTGGAATGTCCGCCATGTTAGAATTTAGGCTAATTTAAATATTTCCTTTCGTTATATCACGAATAGCTATTATTATTTATTAAAGAAAAGTTTGGTGCCCCCCCCAATTTCATCGATTAGTGTTTAGGTTTTAATTTTTTAATATACGGATTTTAATTTACTTCTGTATAATTTAGCGGGAGAATGTAATTATGCAAAGTTTCCATTAGTATAAATTTAAATAAAATAAGATTAATGGTAACTAAACTTTCGTCTTAACATTTATTATGATACAGGAATTAGGTTATGGGCTTACGCAAATTGTGATCTATTCTGCTGCATGTGAGGATGCAGTTGTGAACTTCCAGCATACGGTGATGACAGATTCCTGCATGTTTTGGTATGTCGTCACGAAGTTATACATTGAATTTTCCTAGTACTTTTCCAAATTTTTTATGAAAACTGTCAGTGCTTAAATTCTAAAATTAGAAGTGCTGGACCTCTATGGAAGGCCGATAGTAAACAGAAGCAAAAATAAATAAATAACTAATAATAATTTAATTAACTAAATTAATAATTGTTGGAATAAAAATTTTTACAAATTATCCAATTTATGTTAAATAGTTTAATAATAATAAAAATAGCGGACCTTGTCTTATTCGGGGCTCCGACTCAAATTACAATTTCGCTCAAAAACTAAGAAGTAGCTCCGCCAAGCTCTGACTGAATTTAAGCCCTGAAAATACAGTATGATGTACTATTTCAAGGCGTGATAGAAACAAAAATTATTATCCCAGCATACTGGTTAGAAAAGGTAGTATGCTTCAAACATCATTAATGAGAATACAGAGAATGCTAGAAAAAGTATGAGAGGCTAATCTTTAGAATGTGGTAACAGGTAGTTTCGCGACATTTTGGTTAGGCGATAAAGGTTACTAGCTAGGACTTTAGCAATAATCTGAGAAGTACACAGTTCAAATCGCAGATTATTTTGCCTGAAATGAGAGATCATGAGACATGTAATGTGACGTTTTCCGGAAAATTCCAATCGTTATTTTAGCTAATAAGCACTTTGAAACGATTTCGCTGCTAAAGTGCAGAATCGCCCAGTTATTTGTTTAGCGCTTTTTACAAGAGTAAGAAGAATTGGATTTTTGTCAATTTTCTTTGACTTTTTAAGTGAAAATAGGTCGATGTGTACATAGATAAAGTCAAGAGTGTGCGCAATGCCATTTTTCTGCAATTCTGGGCTGTTTTTTTAAGTGAAAATAGGTCGATGTGTACATGGATGCCGTGTATGTGCAGTTCTTAAAAACGCAGCAAGCAGTTAACGATTCTGCACTTTTTCCCAATTTCGCACCTAATCTGCGTCATGATTAAGCATTTTTGTTCCATAAAAGTTCTACTATAAGCGTAATTCGGCTAGCAGATTGTTGGGGAAAATGTTGAGTTAAAAAAAAAAAATGCATTTACTTCGGGAAAACAAAATGCCGTCTAAAACAAAACTAGCAGGTTGCTGTAGCGGGTTGGTCGCCAAAAAATCGCCAAGTTACCATAATGTAAAGATTCACCAACATTTCTTTCAACGCGCACATGCGTAAAGCATACATTACGCATAGTCGAAATTAGAAAATTGCAACAAGAAAACTATTTGATGTGTATTCATGATGTTTATAATGACGAGGAATTTGATTTAAATCATATCAAAGACTGAGTACATTGAGATGAAATAGTACATTTAGTAAGGAATTGTAAGCGGAATAAAATAAAAACATCTGCCCTGAAGATGAGGATAGTGCTGACAGGTCAACTTCCAGTTCATTGTGCGCCGCGACGCCCCCCCCTCCCTTTTTCCTTTGTGTAGTGCTTAGAGATGCTTCAAGATGAACTTCCTTTATGTTATTTCATTGTTAGATTTAAAATGTAATTTATTGAGATTAAATATATATATATTGTTTGGCTCTAGTGTAGAACTTGGTGCTCCTTTGACTTTTTAAGTGAAAATAGATTGATGTGTACATGGACAAAGTTATGGGAGTGGTGCACAATGGTACATTTGTGCATTTTTTGTCATTTACTGTAAATATAGTTAATCACATACTGTGTGTGTCGTACAAAAATGAATAAATCTAAAAGATAATCTAATAAATATTTTAGATTAGTTTTTAGTACTGTCAGAGAGATTGTCTAGTTTTTAGTACTGTCAGAGAGATTGTCTAATTTGTTTATCAAGTTACAAATGGCCTGGCAGGAGTGCTGTTTTTTCACTCTTGTATATTAATACTAGAGCTGTCCTGCTTGGAAGCCAGCTGACATATCATTTGGCTTGAGTCTGAATCCTGAAGAGGCATGGATGTTCGTGAAGATATGATACTGACTAGTCGAAAGTTCGGATGCTTTTTAAGTGAAACATCGGGCTGTTTTTGGCTGTAGCCAAAATAACAGGTCAAAGAATTGCACAAACTCATTTCCATGTATCACCAATTTTCACCAAAGGGCACCCGTAAATATATATTTTTACCAATATTTATATAGTTCTGCAACTGTAGATGTATGTGAAGTGTAAGCTGCTTCATGTGAAGTAAGATTTAAAATATTATTGGAAGTTTTTGCTGTAATTATTGGTTATTAGAAAATTAAAGTACAGGAGGTAGATCTTAAAACAACTTAAAAAATGTTTAGTCACCAGGCATGTTCATAAAAGCTTATAGAATTAACCATATTTAAAGCTACCAAATTTGATATGGATATTTTAATTTTAAAAACTTGGAATGCCTAGAATAAATTTGCTGGGACCATTATATAATGAAATTGACTTTATAAATCTGGCAACATTAAAAACTCATAATGAGCTTGGGCAACATTCTGAATGATGCTAAAGTCATGATTCTGCAGTCCTTTCTAAATTACAGTGAAGATTAAAGAATTGTAATATCTCTTTATCAAAAAATTATTTTTTAATTCTGGTTTTTTTATTTAACAGGAATTTTGTAAAGAATGGATAAAGGGGAACTAGTTCAAAGAGCTAAATTAGCTGAACAAGCTGAAAGATATGACGATATGGCTGCAGCTATGAAAAGTGTCACTGAAACTGGTATAGAACTAACAAATGAAGAAAGAAATTTATTATCAGTTGCATATAAAAATGTAGTTGGGGCAAGGCGTAGTTCTTGGCGAGTGATATCAAGCATAGAGCAAAAAACAGAAGGCAGTGAAAGGAAGCAACAGATGGCTAAAGAGTATAGAGAAAAAGTAGAAAAAGAGCTTCGAGAGATTTGCTATGATGTATTGGTAAATATTTACTGTTAATTAGCTTAATTTTCCTTTTTATAATCTCCAAGAGCATTAATAAAATCTTGTACAGTCAAAAGTCGTTAATCCGGACTCGTCGGGACTTCGGCGATTCCGGATTATAGATCATCAGTTTAAATCTGGTAAAATGGCATGCAGAAATTATAAAATTAAAAATATGAAACCTGTAATTTACGAAATAAAGAACAATTATGATCTAAAGGGTATCAAAATTTACAAAAAAAAAAGCTTAATATTATTTGTTTATTTTATTAAACATTTCTTTCAATGTAAGTTGTTTAAGTTGCTTCGTTTTTTATGTGATAATACATTCTCCTTAATTCTATAAACAGACATCATTTCTTGTTCAGTTACAAAGTTTCGCTGTTCAAGTCCTATAATTGCTGTGTCGAGAATACCGACTAATTTGTCAATCGAAATTTTTTCGTTTTCAATAACCTCTGTCACTTTCTTCGCTATCGGAAGCGAATTATAATGACGAGGCATTTGATTTAAATCATATCAAAGACGGAGTACATCGAGATGAAATACTACATTGAGTAAGGAATTATAAGCCAAATAAAATAAAAACATCTGCCCTTAAGATAAGGATAGTGCTGACAGATCAACTTCCAATTCTGCACGCCGCCGTGGCGTTAAAGATAAACAAAGTTTAGATAAACAAATGTTAAAGATTAGATAACCAAAGGATATGCCTTTATCCATTTTTTGCAGCACTTCCACTTTTTGTTTAATGGACTCCGAAAGATACTTTCGCTTTGTATATCCTTTACATATTAGTAAATGTATATCGAAAATTCAATTTGACATAATCGAAAGTTCAAGCTTACTTTTATAAAATTGCTCTAACAGTCTGCAAAAAATAATAATCCGGATCCAATTCGAAGATTAAGGAACAACGCAATCTGCAACATTAACTGAAATAGATAATTAGATCATTTTAGCTTAGCTTATCCCGTCCGTTATACATTAAACGCGCATTCGTAAATGTATTTTGCGCACGCGCAAATTCGCAGCGGTAAAGGTCTTACGCGCATGTGTCAACGCGACGTAGCTTTGAGGTCCGGATTATGGGTGTCCGAATTAACGACTTTTGACTGTATATCATTTATTGCTCACTTCGTCAGACAGACAGAAGTCTGTTGAAGTTTAGTATGTGCGATGAGTTACTGCAAAATTTTGGTGATACACACAAAAATCTTCTCCCCCTCCTATTTTCTGTAGTTATCTTAAATCACGTACTGCATGTGTTGCACAAAAATGAATAAATCTAAACATTTATTAGATTTTTTAGTATTGTCAGTTCTATACTAAAAAGATATTGTCCAAGTTGTTTATTTATTGGTAGTTAATGCAATTCCTATTGAATCTGTATTTCTATGTTTTAGGCTGTGTGTAACATTATTAAAAGCCTGTTTTCCTTAGAAAGCCCATGGCATACTTATCTTTCATGTTTGTCAGCTGTCGTGTGCTTTGCCATATTCTTTAAAATGGTTAAAATATCCCATGTGATATTTGAATTTGACTTCTTTCATATCTTTGAGGTTGTTATTGTAAGTTACCTCTCCTCATTTTCAGTATAAAAAGCCGTCCTGTTAATTATAAAGCTGTATATAATTGTAAAACTAGTCTCATTGTATAGTTGTTTGCTATTTTTTTATCATTTCGATCACATAAATTCATTTGGAAATTTGTGTCGCTACTGATTTAGAAAAAGCTTGTTTTCTACTTGTATTTTTTTTAAAGAAAAAACTAAACTAAACATAAAAAGTAAAGTTTGGTGAAGTGTATAAGAATTCTTTATTATGTAAGAGTACAGGATTTTATGCATCATGTGACAGCTTTTTCTTCTCATCATCAGTATTAGCAAAAGGATCATTAAGTAGTTTCTTTAGCAAGTGTTAATTGCATAAGGAAAAAAAAAGGTACTTGCGTATTATCGCAACCAGGTTGGCGCGATTTGTAAGTTTGAGTAAAAAAAGTATGAATAGAAAGAAAATGTACATTTATTAATTACAGATAATTTTTTATACAGTTTTTTATATTATTTTGTTTACCCTACTTATGGCAACCTTATGTTAATTTATTAAAGTGAGGTGTGCGCAGTTCGTAGATTCGTTCGTTGCCTACATTGTGCCATTCGTAGATTTTTTTTTTTTTTTTTTTTAAGTTAAAACATGTTGCTGTGTACATGGATTCTTGTCAAATATTTTTGGTTAGAATCTTTACGTTTTTGCTATCTAAATTTTTTGTTTTTGTTTCGGATTTTTAGCTTAAATCGTGTGTTCAAAACGTAGTTTTTGCATGTGCGAAAACCGCGTTTTTGGAGACATTTTAGGCTTAAAGTTCGAAATATAGACGAGAATCCATGTACACTGCGACATGTTTTAACTTAAAAAAACATCTACGAATGGCACAATGTAGGCAACGAACGAATCTACAAACTACGCACACCTCGCTTTAATAAATTAACATAAGGTTGCCATAAGTAGGGTCGCCAAATTTGGCGATTTATGTGAATTTTGGCCTGCTTGCGTTAAAAAATTTAGATAATTTGAAATATTTTGTAAATAGGTTTGTGAAAATCCCTTCAGCAAACTTAGCAGGAAAATGTTACTATATCGAGAAGATCAAACATAGGTTTTAAATTACGGAGTACTCTCAATTATCTGTGCTAATCCGGGGAAGCTGGTCATAGATAACTGAAAAACACCCATTATCCAAATTATCAATTTTCATACAGATTGGCATGTGTTTATTTCTTAAAAATTAAATGTTTGTCAAATTTACTGCATATTTTTCGACTTGTTATTTTATTATTGCATTTAAAATCCCTTTTGGATGATGAAGTCCAATAAAGTTTCAACAGACGTCATTGTTATCTCAGGGCTAATTCAACTGTCAGTATCGTGTTCACTTGTATTTTCAGGATGACTTCTTGTAACATTTGAAACAATATCTGCATTACTGAAGCATTGAAAGCCCTACTCAGTCGAATTACCCTCAAACCATTCCTCAGTGTTTTCCCGATCAACATTTTTGAAGAGCTTTACGTTTTCAGTTTTTTTTTTTTTTTTTTTTTTTTTTTTTTCCTCATAGCATTGAGTGGACATCTAGAGGCACCACCAAGCATCAGTAATCCACATCCAGATATTTGAGAAAGAATGTAATTAAAATGCTGCAAATAAAATACTTTTTGTGTAAGAAAATGCTATATGAAAAATTGCCAGAAAATACCTGTAAATGGTATATTTTGTAAATTTAGTAACTTGACATATTCTCTCCCACCCCTCTTCCCCGGAAAGTAAAATAACTTTGTTTCTTTCTGATTATCTGTACCCCCCCTCCCCAAAAAAAAAAATATTCACTAGACAATGCACCATGTCATGCCAAAATAGTAATGTGATAACTTGTAACATCATCAAAATATATTTAGCAACTCAAGCATATGGGCACATTTCAACCCTCCAAATTTGATAATCATTTTTCTCATTAATGTTTGTTTTTGTACTGAATACATAGTTTTCTTATAACGAATTATAATGAAATTGGAATTTGCTGGCCAGTAAAAAAGAAAACGTTGCATTTCTTCAAAGATGTAACATTTTGCCCAAGAGTAGAGAATAAAAAAATTCGCATTCCGTGATTTCTTAAATGATGGAAATGCAGTGTGAAAAATTTTAATCTGGAATATCAAGCTTGTTCACATCTTCAGCAAAATTGGATCTCTGTGTGCATGGAGAGAACAGTAGCCAAATTTGTAAAATTATTTGATTCTTTTAAGCAGATCGCTGTGTACCTGAAAAAAGTTGACCCCAAAAAAAAGTTACTTAAAGATTGCTTGGAAAAGGGGTTTTATTACAATTATTTCTTGTTTTAATTTTACAGATTGTTCTTTTATAGAATTTTTAATTCATCATCATTTTGAAAACGCCTTTTGTGTAATGTAAATGATTTTGGGAGAAAATAGGGATGCAGATAATCAGAAAGTACCATAATTTTTAATAAAGTAATACAGAAGAAATGTAATTTAAGTAAAAGAATTTTATACCTTGATTATATTATACAAATTTTAAGATGTAATTGCTGGTGTCAAATTATACTGCCACTTCTCAGATATGAAGAAAGTTGACTATTCTAGTTTCAGAATGCTACAGATAATTATAGAATGGTGTACTTCATCCTCCCTTTTTTTTTTAATAGTTTATTATTAATCTGACATTTAGTGTAAAAAAGTTGGTCTTGATATTATTTATAATATTTTATTTCAGTGTTGGTTATCAAATTTTTGGGTATATAAAGCGTTAATGAATTAATGAATCCTCTCATGCCAGCCATCACTAAAAATGACCGATATTTTTGGACTGTAAAAGTCAGGTGCAGTTATTATTTGTAGACAACCATTTCTCAGGTTCATATTTTAAAGAAATATCCATTTGGGTGTTTTTTTTTTTAATAACATCTGTATGCACAGACAAAATAAAGAACTCTTTATTACAGAATGGATTGTAAAATGGATTCAAAAGGGAGCATTTCTTTTTACGTATAGCATAACTCAAAAATGATTGACGGTAGAACATTGAAATTTTTTACAAAGAACTTCTGTAACATCTAGTTGTGCACCTTTTTATTTTAGTCGGCAGTACTAAAAGTGTGTGTTAATTATACCCATCCCCTTGCCTGGCCTTTATTTTCACAATCGTTTATTGTAATCAAGTGCATCCAGTTACAGAAGTATTTTAAGTAAAAAAAAATATTCGTGTTTTGGCAATGTCAAATTTTAAGAAAATTTCAATAAATAATAAAATCTAACTTTTAATGTGATCTCCTGGTTCCTATAATTATATTTCGGAGACCTGTACCCTCATTATGAAAAAATTTAAATGATAAGTTTTACTATTGTGTAACAAATTAACCGGGATATTTAATTTCAAAATTTGTAATTTTTTGATGCCATTTCAACTTTCCTTGAAGTATCG